TTCAATACCTGTGGTTCGGAGTTAGCTACTCCAGGAGAACGTGGATGAACCGGGTGATATCCCGCATTGAATTGGACTGTTTTTCACACTCTATCGGAATGGTCCATTCAGAACACAAGTGTTGGAACCTGTCATCGTTATCATCCACAGCATGACATCCGTGTTCAACGCCGTACTACCGTACTCAACTTGTGGCCTGATACGGGGCACGCACTTGTGAAGCGCGTGAATGGGTCCGAGAGATGACACTCCGACGTTGTCGGGTCACGCCACAATAGGAAAAGATGCATGTGGAAGGCCATAATCTGCGTTGCTTTATTACTCTGTGCACCGGAAAATGGGAAAGCATATAAATGATTCGATAATCAATAATCGTTCAGCTGTGACACCACCCTATGGGTCCCTAGCTGCATGCCAGGCGAAAGGAGCATGGGGCTGAGATCCTACCAGATTGCTTAAGTCTAGACAGGAGCAGTTGAGGTACCTCGATTGGGTTCGAACCACAGACCTTCCAGTTAGTAAGTTTGCGCCCTAACCACTGAGCTACCTGAAGTTCAGTGATACTTTCTTCGACGACCAAACTCAGGTTCTTGCTTTGGATGCATCAGAAGGAGACATCGGAAGAAGTCTTTACGAAATCCACATTCATCGCAAGGCTCACCACCAAGAGTACAGAGCATGCTGAAACGGACATTCAACAAATGCCACGTTTGTTCTACCCCCTCTGGAGAAAAAAATCCACAATTAGACCAAAAACGACTCTGCAAGTACGATGCAAGCTCAGGTTTTTTTCCTTTGACGAAAGGTGGCTGGTCCTAACAAGTTTGGTCGTTTGAGAAACATCAGCGAAACCGTTAGCACTAGGACAGCCATAGCAATAACATCAGACAGCCACGTAGATTTCGCATGGCAAACACTACCGAGTGTACATAGAACCATTATTTGATACTGAATCAGGCTGAAGAAAACCAGACAAAATTGAAATGGATGTCACGACACCCGTCCCGGAGGAGACGTCAACTGGGCATTCATCAGCTGACCTGCAAGTAGGGGGGGGGTTTGTGCGTTTGGCTACAGTGCGTGGGCATGGTAACGCCAGATACATGTTATTCCCACTGAGATACGATAACGTATCCAACGCAACCGACTTATCTCACCTCCTACTAAAGTCCCAAAATATGGTGAGCATTGTACCCATTTAACCACAATTACGATCGACAACAGAAGACTCTAAACCTGCTTCTAATCAGTGACTGGTTCAGGAACGAGCAGCATATTTGAAATGAGTGTTAAACAGATACCGATAGACTAAATAATCGTGGAATAAAGCGGAATTACCTCATTTACGAAGCGGAAAAGCGGAGAAAGAAGCGGGGAAAAGCATGGTTCCCAAGCCATTCTAAATGAAACGAGGTGGTTGGTGCGGTGCGAGAACCGGCCGAGTCATTGGTACGAGTCGGTTAATCATGGCCCACCGGTCCGATTAGACAGTGTATAAAAATCGAATTGACCTGACGCACCGTCATAGTGGACACTTCAAAAGTCGCAAACATGCATGTTGTAGCTGACAGGATTCGATCAATACTCTTGGACTGTGTACTATGGAAATCGATACTAAATGATTGACACACGAGCTATAAATCTGCCAAGGGATATTCGCGCTGCAAGCAGCAGTCCGTTTATTCTCGTAAACTTCTCAAATCTTGGTGCTGCACATAGGTGTCTGTTTTAACCGTGACTACCTACAATTCTCGTGAACGTGACAAGGAAGTTCGCGATTTATTCGGGTGAGAATTCAGTCAATTCATCCACATACCCAAATGGACAGTTTGATCATCGTACCATCGGGGACCGTAGTGACCTTGACGCGATAGTCAACACCTGCATGTGGGAATAGAACGCGAACAATAAACACCTTACCAATTGTGGCAGAAACTCGCGCCTCGAAGCTGTCATTTATGTAACGCAATAACAGACTGAAAGTGGATCGAAGTCAAGAAGGGTGTTGCCTCTCACCTCGACTTTCCCACACCACTGTCTCCGATAACCAACAGCTTGAAGTTGACCACCTCGCCAAAATCCTGTTTGGGATGGAAAGACTGTTCCATATTAACATGTTCCACGATACCAAGAGCGGGACATGGATAATAATATCACCGGTACATATGAACGGGTCGATGAATGCGCCGATTCGCAGATGGCCACGCAAGCTATAGTGAAGACCGAAACAATGTTTATTGGTGAAACCGATTGGAAACAAGCCTGTGAAGTCAAAATTTGTGCAGGAGAAGGTTGAAAAATGGATAGAATTGAAGCGATTCGGTTGTCCTACGGTGGGAGAGGAAGTTGAGTTCTACATCAAAAGAAAAAATCCGTGGATCGAGTGGACATAGCAGCCACGATCCCTGAAGAATACATCTCATAGCAGTGGCAGAAGAAATACAGGCGCAGTCTGATCGATTACTGAAGGTTTAAAGACGCCTGCTTCGTCAATCAGGCATGCAGATTTCTTCTCTATCGATCTGTTAGGTCAGGATGGGCGGGAGCAGTGGCGTCCGAAATAGGTAAGATCCAAACACTAAGTAGAAAAAACGTATCCAGAAGAACAAAATGAATAAGGGCTATTGAGAACAGAAAATTTTTCGGTCTGTCCAGGAGTGACCATGTGAAAGAGAAACCTGTCGCAATACTGATAACTAGAGTGGGTTTACTAGTTTGTAGGCCAGTTGTCAGCCTCGGCAAACAGACCAACGGCCACCTAATGGTTTTACAGGTAGTGGATTCACGAGGGTGTGGGCTGTAAACAGGGACAGTGATACATTGGGGGTACATTGGAGAGATACAAAAAACAAATACAAAGAGAGATACAAAAAACAGTTGGCCTTATTTGGAATTCATATCAAATGACAGTATTAGTAATCTTCCAGCTGTAGCACCCTTTCGGTACATAGCTGCTAGGCCACCCAGAGAAAGTACGAGGGATGAGATACTGCCAAGCTGCGCAAGCATAGACGCCTAAACGCCTCGGCTGGGTTCATCACCATCATTATGATTGACAGCAACACCAGATGAGAACATTGGTGCATCTCTGCCGAACCACTGACCTTCCAGTCAGCAACATTGCGCCTTAACCACTGAGTCACCCCGAGCTCACTTATGGTGCATCAACCGTCAACACCCATTGAGTCGTTCTCTAACTGAATGAACGCGTGATGGGAAGGCAGGCACAATCGAGGCTCCCTGTAGCTCGAGCGCCTACATGTCCGGACGAATTCAGCGGATGACAGTCTCATTCACACGTACAACAAAACCTCAGAAGAATCAGAACGACTCAATACAAACTGAACTTCAGATGACAAATCTTCACACATGGAACCGTAAGTCACTGACCTTTTCGACAAAAAACAAGAACGCTCACTAGAGGTATGGAGCTCTATGCGTAAATTCGGTGTCACGCTGCAAAGCCACTCTTGACCACATGTTTCCCGAGAATTCCAATGTAGAGTGAAATCGCCATTGAAATAGTGGTAATTAATAGAATTTTTCTCAAAGCCGACTGTTTCACTATCATCAGTAGACCGTTCCTCCGTGAATCGGAGAAAGATGGACCACTCTGTGCGGGAGAAAAGTTAGTTCAAGCAACCTCAAGAGATATCGACGCACAATAAAATGGCATCTGAGCCCAGACCGGTTAAAAAGTGCTTCAACCACAAATTACAGACGAAAGGATGAACATAAGTGGAGCCTGGGGTAACGTCTAAGTATAAAAATGTTGTTGGACATAAAAGCGCCTCATCCAAGTGATGATCTAGAAACAGATAAACAATATTCGAAAAATCGATAGCACAGAGATCGCAAGATGTAGACATGCTTGGAATGTATGCTTCGATCACGTCCGCTAGCAGATGAAACAACATACCGAGTACCACTGTGGAGAATTGAATTGGTGAAGCTCTCAGGTTTGTGTAAATCTGACCAAGTTGGACTGATAAGAAGAGCTGTCAAACACATGCACGATCGATCTGATTTTGGAATGCAACAAGCGATGCCACAACACAGTCGGCGGTTGTTCATTTGGCTTGTAAATGAAAACATGGAATTTTCACACATCTGGAATATTCGTTCAGCTGTAANTGCCCTGCCACCTGAAGGAAGCACGAGGGCTGGGATACTTCCAGGTTGTCCAAGCGTAGACATGAGAAGTCGAGAGGCAGAGGTTGGGTTCGAACCACGGACCTTTTGGTCAGCAAATTCGCTTTCCAACCACTGAGCCATCTCGCGCCGCTTCTCACATATTGGCCCGACCTTAAGATGATCAACTCCTTAACCTGTACCTACGACTTCAAGTATGCCGCTGATATGTTTAGTACAAAGTAAAAATGTGGCACACACACCCCTTAATTAAAAATGAAACTCTTCTCCGGGGGGAGCGCCGCTCCGTTCCATGCTCTGGATTAAGGAGCAAACACTAAAGACCAGTTCACAGCTGTGTATCTGAATGGGAAGTTGAGTGCACGATTCGCTAATTTGATTAGTTATCAGCCGGGTAGCCAAGGTAGGTTGGTTCAAGCTGCCAGTTTCGTTCCCTGGGGAAAAACGTATGGAAAAATAACTGTCCAGGTGTGGCAACCATCTGAATTGCAATCAAAATGAAGTGCACGAACTGAATTATTGCCAGGTTACCCAAGTCTAAACACGAGCAATCGAAAAGCCGGGCATGGGTTCGGACAAGGACCTTCCGGTCAACAGTTCACCGCCTTTACCGTTGTGCTACCGAAAGTCCAAAAGCCAAAAACCTAGAGTCAAAGATGAGTGACCACGTATCGTTGGCACTGGTCTAACGAAATTACTAACGTCGAACCACCTCACTTCATCCTGAAGGGGGGTTGGAGTAACTGCACATAAAAGGCTGCACTTGGTGGGCTAATTAGAGAAAAATCGGTCTGGTGTCCGTCGTACATGTACGAAAAAAATCGTTCAGCTGTAACACCCTTCCCGTGCCTAACTGCCCTGCCACCTCAAGGTTGCACGAGGGCTAGGATACTGCCAGGTTGCTCAAGCCTAGACAGGGAAAGTCGAGAGGCAGAGGTCGGGTTCGAACCACGGACCTTCCAGTCCGTAAATTCGCGTCCTAACCACTTCAGCCATCTTGCCCATCTTGTGGAAAGTACGTCAAGCATTGAACTGGACATTCGCGCCATGAAGGCAAAACGTGTAAAACAGATTCCTCGTAACCTGAATTTCTGGACCAAACATCTGAAGATGGGAGGGGATTGACATCCACGTTGGTAACATTAAGACTCGACCCAATATTTCCCCGGTCGATTCAATTGCCAACCACGTCCAAGGCGGAAGCCCCCAGTAGAAATCCAGCTTTCTAAATTGATCGATCTCCTTGAATCTTCAATGTGCAAAAAATGTTTCATTGGCCACCGTTGTTCATAGTAGATTAGTTGGGGCGTAAGTATGCGTAACTCAGTAAGCATATGAGACACTCTTGACAACCACCATATTGGCCAATTGGGTATCGTGATAGTACTCTAATCGTCGTAACATCCATCTTCGAGAGAATCAAAGCGGTAGTCTGCTGGAGTACAAACAAGGATAAGAAACATACATACGTTATCGGCTTGTTTAAGAGATCAGTTACAAGCTCTAACACCCTTCCGGTGCCTAGCTGCCATGCTACCCGAGAGAAGCACGAAAGTTGGGATACTGCCAGGTTGTCCAAGCCTAGACGGTGCAAGTCGAGAGGAAGAGGTCAGGTTCGAACCACAGACTCTCCGGTCAGTAAATTCGGACTATAACCATTTGGGCCATCTGGCCCCCAAATGGTTTTTACGTGCTGATGATATTCTTCTGCACATATGCACACCCATGCTGCGTAATTGGCGTTTCAGGAGGCACAAGATGATACCTGAGTGTAATGGGTGATATGTCTCATGAAGTGTTGTTCTAAGAGGATTTTCACAGGCATTCGAATATCCCTCAATTGAGGGAACCCAGAAACCTGAGGCGAAGGCCACCAGATACAAATAAAACCCGAATGCACCACGTGACAATAACACAATCTTTCCAACGGTCCGCTCGGAAAACACAGGCGAACAATACAAAGTAACCGGTAAGGCGGTAGCAAGTGTAGAAATTCGGATAACGAATTGGCAATATTTACGGAGCAGAGTCGTTTTATTAAATAACTTTGTCTTTGAGTATAAAAAGACTGTCAACGTCTTCATGCCACATGAAGCCTGAAGAGATCATAGCACCAAGACATTTATGCAAATAACCCGTAGTGGACAATTGGTGACACCAGTGAGGACCACAATAAGCGAGCTCACTTCAAGATGCCTACCCCACCTACGGGTGAAAGAAATCTCGGCGCATTTGGTTGCACCACGATGTTCCATGTCCAAATAAGCAGCAGTCCGATAGTGCAGAACGTGTCTGCTGATCGCGGTGTCGCCCGCACATCTTGTCACATTGCACTGTTTGTGAAGTTTCGAAGTCTGTGCATAAAGTGACGGAGATCAATGCAGCTCATTGGAGCAAACCAAATTCGTTAGTGAGGGTATTTGGCGACTTCCGAAATCGAGAGTACCACTTTTGAACGATGAAGTGGTTGTGTAAAAGGGACTGAATGGATCTTCCGATGCTTGTCCTGGAAAGTTTGTGCAGCAAGAGTTTCCGACGAAGGCTGTGCTAAATCCAATGATGCAGACCCAGAAGCACTTTGTACTGATGTCTAAAGTCTTCAAAAGTGTGAAAGAGATGGTGTACTACATCCGTGGTAGATCTATTCGTCTTGTATGCAAACTGTTGCGCATCACTGCAGACGCTCAGTGAAGGCTTTATGATACCAAACCGCAGTCCCTCTGGCACCTTCCAAAAAAGGTTCGTGAACTTAAACAGATTTGTCATGAACGCCAGCTTGACAGACCCCGGATATTATGCTGGAAACCTCCTAACCCGTCGGTAATATACGGTTCCTTTAGGACAATTTGTTAAATAGTGGAAATTTCTTCGGGCCAGCACTTTAACGCCAACGTGTGCACTCTGTCCGACCCGCTTTGTCTGTTGGCTG